CCCTATGCAGCCCACCCCTATATATCACAGCCCCCCTGAAGCCCACCCCTATATATCGCATCCCCTATACAGCCCACCCCTATAGGTATCACACCCCTATACAGCCCACCCTTACACATCGCAGCCCCTACGCAGCCCACCCCCCCACGGCCTGCCCACGCAGGGCCCTATGGCACAGCCCCACTGCCAGCATCCCCTATACGGGAACTGCCCCTGCGCGTAGGCAGCGTCCCCTATACAGAGCCCTCCTTGTCCCCCCGGGGTGTGACAGCGGGGCACAGCATGGCACAGCACAAATGGCACGGCTCACCGCGGTACAGGGCACCGTGGCACCGTGCATGGCACGTCACAGCACGGCGCAGTATGGCACAGCGTGGCGCGCCACGGCACAGTGCCATAGACACGGCACAGTGCACCACAGCACGGCGCAGAACGTATAGCGCGCCACGGCACGGCACGGCGCAGTATATATGATGTGGCACAGCATGGCATGGCACAGTGCACCACAGCACGGTGCAAAACGTATAGGACAGTACGTATGGCACAGCACGGTGTAAGATGGCACAGTGCAGCACGTACAGCGTGGCACAGCACACCACGGCACAGTACAGTATGTACAGCGTGGCACAGCACGGTGCACGACGGCACGTGCCGTACATACGGCACAGCACACCACAGCACGCATGGCATGGCACAGCACGCCACAGCACGGTGCCGTACATACGCTGTGGCACAGCACGGCGCGGGACAGCACAGCGCCGTCCGCACCGCACGGCACACCATGGCACGGCGCAGCATGCTCAGCATGGCACGGCGCAGCACGTATAGCGTGGCATGACGCGGGGCAGCACGTATGGTGCGGCACAGCGTGGTGCAGTACGGCACGGCGCAGTACATACAGCGTGGCACGGCCCGGCGCAGCATGGCACAGTGCGGTAGGTGCGGTGTGGCACAGTGCGGTGCAGTACATATAGAGTGGCACGGTGCGGTGCAGTATGGCACAGCATGGTAAGTACAGTGTGCCACGGCACGGTGCACCATGGCACGGCCCGGCGCAGCACGGCACAGTGCAGTAGGTACAGTGTGGCATAGCGTGGTGCAGTACAGCACAGCGCGGTGCAGTATGGCACAGCATGGTACGTACAGTGTGCCACGGCACAGCACTCACAGCATGGCATGGCACGGCGCAGCATGGCACAGTGCAGTAGGTACGGTGTGGAACAGCATGGTGCAGTACGGCACAGCACGGTGCAGTACATAGAGCATGGCACGGCGCGGTGCAGTATGGCACAGCATGGTACGTACAGTGTGCCACGGCACGGTGCACCATGGCACAGCACGGCACAGCACATACAACGTGGCACGGCCCGGCGCAGCATGGCACAGTGCAGTGCGTACGGTGTGGCACAGCACACCACGGCACGGCACAGCGTGGCGCAGCACCTACAGCGTGGCAGACCCTGGCGCAGCCCGTCCCGGGCCAGCCCGGCCCAGGGGCTCTCCA